CTGCGTCATCTTGAAATTCTTCATGATCATGATCCTCAAACACGTGGTTACTCCACCAACAAATTTCTGCAAGAATTGGATCCTGTTCTATTTTCCTTTATATCTGGATTGGTTTTTTAATTTGAATAAGTTAAAATATTTTTGTGTTACAAGTATTTACTCCTCATTGCAAATGGAAGAGCCACTTCATGGTAGCGCTCGCCATACTCATCGCACTCAGTGGATACCTGCTTGCTGAAATGAGCCAGATGATGATGTAAGTAGCGCATTTTTAAGGACATGTACTTTTTGGTACATATTTACTACAGCAGTAGCATAAGCTGTTAACATCTGACTCGCACGCTTCCATTTTACTTTTTCAACAAAATTATTATGTTCTATCCAAAGATTATTTACACTTAAGTTACTTGTTTAAACAATTGGAGCTAGAGTTACATACATACATATATGAACAATAAACCTGTATAAAATAAATCATTAAATTTTTTTGCATATGGGCAATTCTCATAAACTTCGAATTTTTTTTTTCTTAAATCGTGAGCACGTGTCTGAAATTTTTAGTATACGTTCCTTCAGCTGCTAGAATACAAAATACGTGGTGCAACGTTTTAAAACAACGCACCATACGTTTTTAACGTTTTTTACGCGTTTTTTTCATGGAAAGTGGGCGTAATTTTAGTCCGATTTTGAAAATTTGCAACATTTAGCTATTTTATGCCAAGGTAAATAATTGTACTGAGTTTGCTACAAATTCATAAATCGATAGATAACTAACACAAAAATTCTAATTATATGATCATTTAAATGACTCCAAAATATTAAAAATATGCTTGATATATTCCCAAAAATGTATATAACGAAAATCTGATCGATTATCGCATAAAAAAGTGTTTGTGCATATGTACATACAAAATGTATTTAACAAAGTGTGATTGAATTTGAGATTGCTCTCAGAAAAACCATCCCATAACGTCAAATTTTAAATTTTTTTATGAATTTTGAATCGTTTGTTTTTATTTTTTGGCATAATAGTACCATAAAAGAGAGCCGACCTGTAGTGCGATTCATTAACTTTTAACAATGCGACTTGTCGAGATGTCAGCTAACAATTTTTGTTGTTTGCAGTAACGATTGTGCGATTCAATAACTGTGCTGCCGCTAATGGCCACAAATCCGTTGCATTTGCCTAGGCGCTCGTGTGTGCACAAAGTTGACAAGCATTTTATATGGAAGAAAAAGTGCAACACCCTCCACAAAAAAATTCTAAAAATTAACGGTAACTTTTAGCGAATTGAAACTCGAAGACTAAAAAAGAACGGGCTACAAAACTGCATACCCGTAAATCTTATAAAGATCCTGAATAAAAAGTTCGAAATATTTATAAACATTTTTTTAAGTTTGATCTTTTGGTGGGATTTTGTGCAAGCTTTGAAACTTTTATTTTTGTGGTTTCTGTTATTATATAGTAGAAGGAACTATTAAAAATAAAATTATTAAAAATAAATAAATACACATAAGTAGCAAACAACATAATTTTGAATTTTTCTGCCAAATTTTGCTCGCAGCTGTAAAAAAAAAGTTTATGAAAAACATTCAGCATTAAAAATATTGTTACTATGTATTTAAAAAGTATCACTGTATGCACATTTTGTACATATGTAATTATTTTTAAGACTGATTTTATTATGCTAGTGTAATGATGATTAATAAAGAAATATTTAAATATGGACATACATATATGATATTTATACTTTTAACAAGCGATGTACACGTATTAAATTGAAAAATTTAATTATTCAATTCCTTTAAATTCAAGGCATATTCAGTTCCTGTACAATTAAAAAAATCGACTTATAACCTTTTAACTTCCAGTTTTCTATATTGCTTTACGCCCTATTGGAAAATTATAACCGGAATCCATATATACAAATTTTAACGAACTATTTTTCGTGCTATTTGCTTTATTTTTCTTGTTATTAATAGTGTATTCTGTGTGTGTGTATTATTTAAACAAAATTCAACAAACTTTCGTAAAACTTCAAGTTTTTAATAAGAATAATAACAGAATTATGTGTGCAGTTTTGTAGTCCATTAAATTTTAATACAATAAAGTGCAAGTTTGATGCTGAAAATCCTTTGATTTTTTTTGCTTGCGGTGCTATGCATTTGTACGAAAAAATTGTAGAACGCACCTTTTACGTTTTATTAACAACACCAATCTAGACGTCGTCAAATTAGCGGCCTTTGTTATCGTTAACGACAACAGCTGATTTGGCGCTAACGAATGTTGTCAGGGAAACGTTTACCGAATAGCTAAATTGTTAAAATTGTCGTTTAGCTGACTTAACAATAACAAGAGGTGTTAAAATCTCGTAGTGAATCGCACCACTGAGTTGTCAATCACACCTTGTTTAATACACCTTGCATACATATATGTATTGAAAATGAACGCTCTACCTTACAAGACTTTGTTGGATAGAATTTAAAAGATGACAATTCTCCAGGTGAAAATATTGCAACATTTTATTGAAGTGTTGCTTTACACAAAATATTTTTGTTGCTGATATTGAACAGTTACAATAGATGCAGAATAAAACTTCATGCTCAGTTCGCAACACACCTAGGGTCACGGTTGCCAACTTTTGCATTCTTGAAACCGGGACATCAATTTCAATGCTGTATTTTAAAATTTTTCTATTTAAAATAAGAAAACAATATAAAACTTCATAGATAAACGCTTCCACAATACAAAATTTCGATGTCAATACTTTTTAATAATTTCAACATTTTTATATTAAAGTTGAAATAAAAATCACTCCAAATTATAAATTTCTATTTACATATGTATTTGGCACGGGGATTTTTTCATAATGTACATACATATGTAACTTTTTACTTAAATTTTTCGCCGATTTTTTTATAAAAAGATAGTTCATACTCAATGTGACCAACTATTTCATAGCTCAAAAAGTACAGGCTAGGTTGGGTTAAGTTAACGCCGCGAGCCGATTACGAAATCGAGGATCAGTTGAAATTCCTTGTTTCACCGCATCAATACCAATCGCACAATGGCCTGTCAGAACCCCCATCACTAGCCCTTGAGAGGTAACTTGTTTTAAAGTGCTCTATAAAAACATTTGCTGCAGCAGAGAAACGTCTTCTTTTCCCTTTTTTATGTCACAAAAGAACCCGGTTTCCCTTAGCCTAATAGCATTTCGTGTTGCGACAATTCTGTCTGCAATATCCGCAGGCGCCGTTTTCAACATATGTATGTTAAGCGCCAGTGTAGGTGTGGTTCCTAATGCTCCGCTAATTCCTATTTTACAAGTGTAGCTTCTCTAGTGATATCCACCAGACGATGTCTCCTTGAAACAATATAGGCTTAAATCTGGTGTCCTAGAGCTAATGAATTAATTTGGGCGAGAGACCTAACCTTTTACCTTACCTCAATGTTAAGCTTCCACGACAGCCGCCGTTGATCGCCCACCTAGTTATCTGGTTCGGGAAACCTTGAGCCAGATCAAAAAGGGTGTCTAGAACTCGTTCCTTAACCAAAAGTTCCACATCATCTACATAGGCTATCACCCGAAAGCCCACTCTTTCCAGTTTCTCTCGAAGGTCATTTGCAACCGCAATCCAGGGCAGGGGAGAGAGAACACCACCTTGTGGAGTGCTCCTAATGACAGAGTCGTCACAATTGACTACGCAGATGATACTGCAAGAAAAGGTATGACCAAGGGATGCATCCATGGCTCTGTGTGCGGAACAACTTTCTGGAACATCATTTTAAGCAGGGATCACACGATTTGTACATTTGTACACAAAATGCCAAATTTAGATTTGTCCACATTTGCGCATTTAGATAGCGATGTACAAATGATTTTTTTTGCGATCAGACGATTTGGCTGCCAAAGATCCAAATGATTTGGCACACATTTGCGCACAGCAGTAAAGTGACAAATATTGTCCACATTCATTCACACAATTTAACCATTTGGTCATAAATACTTTAACAGCTGATCCGGTGTCAACCATACTTTTGCATTTATGATTGCGTGAGATTTGAAGTGAAATAAACAAAAATAATATATACGCACAGGTACTCAGAATTTTGAATATACCCTCAAAATCTGGGCAGAAGTTAAAAAACGCATTTTTCATAGGTTGAAGCATATACTTGCTCGTAACTTATAACCATTTATAAACGGCTAATTTGTCTTGAGAAATTGTGGAGCAATATTACAGAATATTCGAAAAGTTTTAATTTTTTTTTTATTTTAAATGACGTCTTGTCCGGCTATTTTGTTCATTAGTATAGAAATATATATGTATATGCAGACCCCATCAAACCATCAATAAAATTTATCCCAATATGATATCTCACTTAAATTTTAGTACTAGAAAAAGTGCAGAACACATTGGTCAAAGTCGAATGTCTCAGCCAAACCGTAATTGATTTTCAAAATTTATAGCTAATTATAAATAAAACTGCTTACGGCTTCGTTCTTATACATATATGTACATTAGACTGGGTCGGTCCCCATACAAAAAAAAAAAGTTTCTAATGTCCGCCCCTAAATTTAAAGATTATGTTGAGAGGGTTCTGGAAAAAATTTTTTTTTTTTTTTTTTAACCCTCCGAAATACAGCCGAAATGGTTTTTTCGTTGTAACTTGGTTATTTGACGGCCGATTTTTAAAATTGATATGTCATTATTTTTGTCTTGAGAAGCTTCACTTTTCGTTCTTATGTCTTTTTAAGCTTTGAAGTCGCGTTCGCATGATAAGGGCAGAAACAAAATTTTACCCCCCCCTAAAGTATATTTTTTTCCTTACCAAACGAAAGTACTTAAAAATTCAAGAAAATGTTGCCTTCAAACTATATTACTAAAATA